TATTAATACAATAAAGGGAAGATAAAGAAGTGAAATAACCTGTCTAAAGACTCAAGGAAGTCATTGTTTGAGTCACAAGTCACAAGCCCCAGAGCTTATGATGGAAAAACATGAGCCTACATTATCAACCTCTTTATGGCAATACTAATGAAAACATCACTCCAAATAATTAAAATAAGACATAAATATTGGACTATGGTCCTATCAACTGAGGGTGTGTAAGATGGGTGATAGCTAAGTCTTAACAACCCTTGGCAACTAAGCTATATCCTTCCCTCAAGCCAAAAAAAAAAAAACCCAAAGTGGCACATAAAGATATATTAAGCCAGAAAGAACTCTGGATGGCCATAATTTTCCAAATGTCATCAACAAGCACAGCATCTTGGAATTACACAAGACAGAGAGTTGGAAAAGCCAGTGCACCTCTCTACAGAAAGTGCCCATTTGCAGTCCTCCTGGGAAGCTCTTGACTACCTAGAATCCTGGGAAAGTCAGACACTAGGATCCCATCTCTTTCCCCAGGCTGGAACCCTGAATTATCTATTAGATAACCCAATCTACCCAAGTAGTCAGGATTGGGAGAGTAGAATTCTATAACACTCCAAAGGAACTTCAGAACTGGTTATATTACAGGCTTCTCCACTAACAAAATTCGGTCTCATCTTTATTGCTAACCTGGTGTCCTTCTGGTCTAACTCCCACCGCTGTCACTGGAAATTATCTCCCTAAGTACACCCTTCTTCATTATTACCCCCTGTTAATGGGTATTAACTTGTGTTTCCCAACAAGATATGCTGATATCTTAACCCCAGTACCTCAGCATATAACCTTATATGGAAAGAGGTTTGCCACAGATGTAATTAGCATGACCTCATCTTAACTAATTAATCCAACATGACTGGCATCCTTAGAAGAAGAGAATACATAAGAAGAAAGGAGAGAGTAATGTGATGACAAAGGCAGAGGTTTCAGTGTTGTGTCTACAAGCCAATAAATAGCAAACACCAGAAGCTATAGGAGTCAAGGAAGAATTCTCCCCTACAATTTTCAGAAGCAGCATGGCCCTGCTGACACTGTGATTTCAAATTTCCAGCCTCCAGCACTGAGACAATACATTTTTGTTGGGTTATGGCAGCACTAGGGAACTAATACACCCCCTCTCAAGGACACTACTTGATTCTCTGTACCACACACACAATCAGCTATTCCGCTCATAGAAGTTCCTATCCTCTTATGAAAGTATACTTGATATCCTTGAATTTTTCTACAAGAACTTCTACTATCTTCCATCATGAAAATATTTCTCAAGGGGACTGAGGACTCTCCCATGGCCATAAACTCATAGAGAGAAAAGAACACTTGCATTAGCCGGTGTGATTCAGTAGTTAGAAGGTCTAGGGTTCAATTCTCGGTCAAGGGCATGTACCTCAGTCAAGGGTTTGATCCCCAGCCTCTGTCAGGGCTCATGTGGAAGGCAACCAATACATATGTCTCTCTTACATTGATAATTTTCTCATTCTATCACCCTTTCTTCCACCCTCCCTCCCTTACACTTTCTCAAAAAAAAAAAATCAAAGGAAAAAATATCCTCAGATGAGGATTTTTTAAAAGAAGAAGAGAACACTTGGCCACCATCTTAGCTTTCCATTGCTAGGTCTTGCCATTATTCCCATGCCTTTTTTCCCCATGTATATCAATTTTATTTTTTCCAGCTTTGTGGAGGTATAATTGACAACCAAATATTGCATAAATATAAGATGTACAACATGACATTTTGATATGCATAAACACTGTGAAGTGATTACCACAATCAAAATAGTTAACATACCATTACCTCACATAATTACTATTTTGTGTATGTGTGCTGAGAACACTTAAATCAACTCTCTTAATAATTAATTATAGTTACAATTCTGTACATCTGCTACATAACTGAAAGTTTGTGTGCTTTGTCCAACATCTCTCCATTTCTCCTACTTATCAGACTGAGACTGATATTGCAGTGGTCTCTCAACTGTCCCCTTATCTTCCACTTCTCATTTGCACAATCTTAAATCATACACATTCTGATAGATCCCTTGCTCCTCAGCATTCTCCTCCATAGTCTGGCACATAAAAGATAAAATTACCATCCTATGGGGTGAACTATCCACTGGTGTCCATGTTAAGCCTTCTTATTTTGTCTACCATACCTCACTACACAAACTATGCTTCAGTCAAATTGTGCTATTTGCTGATCTCAAACATATTTTGTTGCCTTCTCCAGTGAAAATCCTACAGTAAAGGATGCATTGTGGGGAGATTATAACAGCTAGGGTACCAAGAAGCTATTTGTCTTTATTTGGTCAAATAGCTCCTGTCCCTGTCTCCCTCAGAAGGATCTTGACTTGAGAAGAACCATCACTGGTGTCTCTGTTCATGACCATCACTTACTCATAACTTCATTCAAGATTCATGAAATACACGTGCCCAAGTCTCAGGTTGTGCCAAAATGAAAAATGTTCTAATCAAACCATACAAGCAATTTATCACTAAACAGATTTTCATTTCCATGATTTTGTCTAAATTAATCAGAGCTAAAACAAAGGAAGCCTCAATTTACCTCAAAATTTCTTAGTAATGAATGTTGCTGAAGGAAGAAATTCAGAACAGAGTATAGGAACATTTATAAGAGTTGGGAAATACATAATTTTATTAATAGGCAGACGCTCCAGAAAATAAATTTATTACTTGACTCCTAAGTTAAGATGCTAAAATTTTTGAAAACACACTATTAACATGGTGACAAAGATGTCATGGGTATTATAGTAAGAGAAGCAAATGTTACAGAACTAATGAATTTTCATTAGAGCCATCAGTTCACTTCAGAATGGGTTAAGTTGCTATCATTTGCCATCCCCATTAATATCATTGTCATGTAAAAGGTTTCATTTTCAGCTATTTCTGTTCTAGATAAAATCTTTGTCATTAAAATGAGGAATGATTTTTATATTTAATATATTCCATGGCATACTCTAGTGTGATACTAATTTGGCCTTTTCAGCATTCTGCATATTAATTGACAATCCAGCCTTCCTCCATCCTTAGATAAGTGAGAACGGAAATAGAATGGACAGCCAATCAAGTCTCAGAATACTGAAAGGATCAACATAGAAAAAAACACATTGCACTCATCAGGAGCGTACACAAGGCACTAACATTGTTTTCTCCTATAATAATGGCTAAGATAGAAATGGGAATAATGAGTAGCATCATCTGAATCCTTTTATGTGACAGTGTAACCAAAGTTAGCAATGCTCCATAAAAACTGAAACTAGTACTGCTTTTTTTTTTAGTCAAAAGAATAAAAACTACAATCTCACTTAACTTTTAGAACAATGCATTCTATCAGATTTTCCAACAATTGGGAGATTAGGTCCCATATTTCATTTTTCTTAATCATCTGTTTCATGCACACAAAATGTGTCCTGTAGTTGAAGAGTACATAGGATTGCCACAGAAGACTTGGAATTTCAGTACATACTCTCTCATTTTCCTTTCTCGTGTTGAATTATCATTCTGATGAGAATTGATATCCACTGCATAAATAATGCATTAATCCTAATTCCAGAAGCCATTATTTTCATTTTAGTGAGGATTTCCTCTAAAGACAAACCTGGCCTTCTTATCCAAGAAGGTAATATAACTTGCCAGCATTTAAAGTGTTTTGAATCATTTTTATAGCAATAGTGATATAATTTTTAAATTCCAAACAGCAAATATTATGGCATCGTGGACACTTAACAATAGGTGTGAATAGTTGGTTGATTAAAACAATGAATCCGATCTGTCCATCAACACCAGGCTTTTTCACCTTTTCTAGCTATTATGCAGCAACACCGCACTGGAACAAATTATAAACATACCAAATAATGTGTAAAATAAATTTTCATGTCCTATTGTATGCAAAACAGATCCCAGGCATCTGCAAATCTTTCAAGAGAAGACCTTATTCCAATAATTTATTCCAATAACCCTTTGTCCTTGCTAATTATGGATAAGTCCAAATCACTCTCATGATCTTTTCTGAGTTGAAGTCTCCAAGAAAGACAAGAAATGATCAACATAGCTTCTTCTTTCAAGTTCAAAATAGCCAATAGGCACTTTACTTTTTCCACAAAATATTATGCTTACAGAAAAAGGTATGTAAATTTTATTCAGTAGTTCTTAAGAGTATTTGTTAAGTAACAATAATATAATCTCCTTTCATCGACAAAGATGTGTTGTTGACCAATCAGCAATAAAGTTTGTCCTCTAAGTGTGTTTTGTTTTGTTCTGCTTCTCTCTACATAGGGGAATGGATTTACAACCTCATAAGTGAACATGCACCTGGTGAGACGCCTGTAGAGATTTGGATAAGCACCTTGAAAAAGCCCAGCATGGAATCCATCAGCACCTTATTCTAACCCACATTTTTACAGTTTGCCCTTTATGCCTCTGTAAGCTTCAGTGTTTAAGGTAAGACGAAAAATGCAAGAAGTCAAATCTGACAATCAGAATATCACTGAAGCATAGCCCTGGGGGCTCCTTCAGTATTGTTTTAAAATGATTACCAGTCTTAATCCCTCTGGAGTTTGATGTAAATTCCACTGCTTTTTTTTTAATTTAATGACTTGCTTATGTAAACTTCCATCTAGAACAATCAAAAAGTATGTCATTTATTCAAATTTACAGTGGCTCTTATGCGCTAGCCAACTCCCTTGTCAAAACAGACAACTTTTAAAAATGTCTGCCTGAGTCAGAAGCTCTATTTCCTGAATTAGCACCAAAGTGTCACCTTGATGGACGATGAACAACACAAACATTTATAATAAACCCAGCTTCCCCCTCATTTGGACAGCCCAGGTCACGCATCTGGAGGAGCTGTAATTACTCTATACAGATCAGAAAGTGCTTGGAGGTGATAGGACTCCCACAGCCTGTCACCTCCAAATATGATCACCCGATAAATAAATGCTTACCAATCTCCCTTGAAATCTGAGTGAATGCCTCCACACCACTCTCTCCATAGTTGCCCTCAGAAGCCAGCGTCGACACATAATTCCACCCCAGGGCCGTCACAATGTCCACCATGGCTTGTGCTTGGTAGGAGTCAGGCGGGACCACCCTAGAGAAGAAGTCATACCTGGTGTTGTCACTTAGCTCAGGGGCTGTGGATGCATAGCTGATTTGAGGTATCTGCAAAACAAATGACAGGTCATTTCAGCCCATGAGGAATCATGTGGAATGATGGATTGTCACGAGAGACTGAACAGACAAAGCTATATCAGAAACCTAGATACAGTATCCTGAAGCTGAAATAAGGTTTTATGAGCAACAATGTGATTAGAAAGTCTTTTACATTGGTCTGTAGATTCACTTTCTTTCAGAGTACACTAGAGGCCCGGTGCACAAAATTCATGCATGGGGGAGGGAAGTATGTCCCTCAGCCCAGCCTGCACCCTCTCCAACCTAGGACATCCCTCTCATAATCCAGTACTGCTGGCTCCCAACAGCTCACCTGCTTGCCTACCTGATTGCACCTAACCACTTCTGCCTGCCAGCCTGATCACCCCCTAACCACTCCTCTGCCAGCTTGATCGATGCCTAACTGCTCCCCTGCTGGCCTGATTGCCCCTAACTTCCCTCCCCTTCCAGCCTGGTCGCCCCCAATTGCCTTTCCCTGAAGGCCTTGTCCCTTCCAATTGCCTTTCCCTGCTGACCTGGTCACCCCCAATTGCCCCGGTCACCCCTAACTTCTTTCCCTTGCAGGCCTAGTCACCGCTAACTGCCCTCCCCTGTCAGCCTGGCCACTCATAAATGTTCTCCCCTGTCAGCCTCATCAACCCCAACTTCCCTCCCCTGCTGGCCCGGTCACCCCTAACTTCTCTCCCTTGCAGGCCTGATCACCCCTAACTGACCTCCCTTGCCAGCCTGATCACCCATAAATGTTCTCCCTGCCGGTCTAGTCACTCTCAACTGCCTTCCCCTGCTGGCCTTGTCGCCCACAACTGCCCTCCCCTGCTGGCCATCTTGTGGCAGCCACCTTTGACCACATGGGGGTGACCATCTTGTGTGTTAGAGTGATGGTCAATTTGCATATTACCTCTTTATTATATAGGATTTCTAAGCAGCAAGAAAGAATGTAGTTTTGCTTCAGATTTCATTGTTTCTGAAAGCAAGGCAAAATATTTATGCTTGTTTTTGTTGTGCTTTTTTGTTCTGTATGTGATAAGATCTGTGCAGAAATGAGACAGCAGTGAAGGTATATACATGTGTCAGAAAAGGTCAACCTCTGACAATTTTTAGCTTTAGAACAGAAAGGCTACACAATGACAAACAGAGACTTTAATGTGAGATATGTTTGTACACTTGATGTCATTTCAACTTAAAGATTATATTTTTTGCAAATTATTTTAAATATGTAGCTATGCAAGTCTATTCATTGATTATTAATATTAAAATGTTTTGGGAATAGCCAACTATGTATCTTTTAATAAAAACATTTTTCCAACTTCCCAAAAGAACATTACAAAATAAGAACCCATACAATAATTTCTTTGGGAAAACAGACTTGCCACAAATCTCCCCCTAAAAAACTTTAAAATGCAACATTCATTCATATATCCAAGTGAGGACTTACAATCTAACAGAGGAAAACACTTTGCTAAAGAAGTACAAGGAAGCACATGAAGTCCAGATGGGATACAGAAGATGCCGGGAATCTGTTCAACAGGGCAGGCCAGCGCATCACAGCCATGGGGGCTGCATTCCAAATGCACAGAGTGGGCAACGGCATGGCAGATCCCAGAGACTGCAGCTTTTCAGGTGACAGGGATGTAGAGCACTAGGGGAGGGTTGTCAGGAAATAAAAGTGCAAAGCTAGAGAGAAGCTGGGTGATGGAGGGGAAAGGAAAAGTATGGAAACTATACGTATCTGAAAGACAAGGGAAGATGCAGGTGAGGAGTCTCAGTTGTATGACTTTGGTAACTAGATCCCTGATATTTTCTGTTTACCAAGATAGATTTTTAAAAAAAAGATTTTTCAGACAAAAAAGAGTAATTTTAACTTTTGATTTGTCTCTTTTGAGATTTTTTTTAATAATTTTCCTTTTTTTAAAAAATATATTTTATTGATTTTTTTACAGAGAGGAAGGGAGAGAGATAGAGAGCTAGAAATGTCAATGAGAGAGAAACATCGACCAGCTGCCTTTTGCACACCCCCTACTGGGGATGTGCCCGCAACCAATGTACATTCCCTTGACCGGAATCAAACCTGGGACCTTTCAGTCCGCAGACCGACGCTCTACCACTGAGCCAAACCAATTTTGGCGCTCTTTTGAGATTCTTGTGAGATGAATGAAAGCAACTAAATAGCGGGCAATAATATTGGGAGACCTGGATTTTAAGAGTGTCTTTGAGACTGAAGGTGAAGAAAGGTGGGAACACAGTGGAGATGGTAGTTAGGGCAATTTGGGAGGGTGAGCTGTGCAACTGTGTATCTCATCACTCCTCTGCCACCATGCTGAGGTGTGAAAGTTCAGAGGCCAAAATGACTACAATTCAGGGTGCTTAATTGAAGGTGCAAATTGGGCTCATACAAAAAACAATTAATTTTTTAAAAAATAACAATTTGCTCTCCTGCAGCCAATATCAGTGCCTTGATGTCAGAGAGCCTGCAGTTCCATCGTCCTATACAGGCCTACACACTCTGGGATCCAACCCTCACCTACCACCCCCTGGCCAATGATTCCCAATCCATATAAGGTTTTGATTCTCCTCTTCACATCTGTGTAAAGCTCTCAACATCTGATCTAGAGAGTCTTGTTCCATATAGTGGCTGGGAAGTGACACTGAACTTCTCAAGATTTAAAAAAAAAAAAAAAAAAAAAAAAGGCCTGAGTTACAAAGGAAGAAGTAAAAGAATGTGCTTGGAGCTCTCCATGGTGCTGCAGAGTCCATCCAGCTTCTGTACAACCTGCATCTCTCTCCATTGACTATAGCAATGAGTTAGCCTATTTAACCCCCAATTCTTCCCAGTCCTAATATACTAGTGGGACCAAGTGAACTTGCTTGTTAACACTGTGGGTCTACAAAAAACTAGACTGGCCACCCCTCGACAAGCTGTTCCCTTGATTAGTCTTTGTGTCTTTGTAATACATGACTACTCAGCAAGGACACACCTCCACATGTCTAACCACACACCAAATCTTAGGTCTTTTTCACCTTTTTATGCTTGCTTCTAGAGGACCTTGGAACTAGACAATAGATGACTCAGTGAGATCTACCCCTCACTAGGTAAAACTTTCCCAGAGATGTGCATTTCTGTGTTCCAATGAAATGTATCCAGCAGCTTGACCTTCACTTGGGGAGGAATTCTGTGAAGATGAATGGTGTGTGTGTCCCTTGCCATGCCTTCTCTGTCCTGCTTGCTGCATGTCCTAAGAGGTGCTCTAGGACTGTAGCACCTGGGTCCCTGGTCTCAGGCTTTCAGTGAGTCCCACAGGAGTCAGAGCACTGATTTCCCCCATCTCCTTCCCCACCAACCTGGTGTTTCTCCACCTGAACCCTCATCCACAGCTAAAGCTCTTGCCAGGCTCCAGGGACCACTCTCTACTCTGTCCCTTCATCTCCTGCCATTGCTGCTAGTGCCTGAGTGCTTCCTCATCCTGTGTTGATTTCTTTCCCTGTGTCCACACCTTAAGAATCATCCTTTTGTTGACCTTCCTTGAATTACCTTTTACAGAGGATTATTCAGAGTCCAGTAGCTGAGGAGCTACTCAGAGTCCATCAGTAAAATGCCTTATACAACCCCCACCCTGCCTATAATAATGAGCCACCCCTTTCTAAAAAGGAGCACAATGTGTGAAAATTGAGTGTTTGAACCCAAAACTAATTATCTCAAATTACTACCTTCAGTCAGTCACTTTCAAGGGCTGTTTAATTAGCAGTCAGCACCATGTTTAGGATTAATTAAACAGGTGTAAAGGGGGTATAAAATAAAAGTGCAGACAGAAGATGGTTGTTTGAATAACTGGATAAAGGACTTTCTCCCCAAACTCTTAAAGAGTTTCCTCTTTGCCTATCATCTTGTGGAAAAGTGGTGTGAGAGTATGTGTCTGTGTTTCCACTTGTTCAACATTTGCTGTGTTGCCATCTACAATAATAGACATCAGGGTATATAGATTTTTTTTAAAGACAACTTTTCAAGTTGTCATGAAATCATTCCTCATTCTTATTTTATTGTGGTTGACCACAGAGCATTGGCTCCTTATGCACTTTAGTCTCTGTGCCAGCATCCCCAATATTCCCACCAACCCTCGAATTAAAGCTCTACTGGCAACCCAAGTGGACATCTTTTATAAACCTAGAATATTTCTTTTTCTCTTCCCTATATTAAATCCATCCTAATTAATCCCTTCACCCTGGAGCTTCCCTCTATCAGAAACAATAACTCTAAATAAGGTGGTGGGTGGGGAATAGAAGTAGAGAGGAAAATGAGAGGAAAAAGAAAAGGAGGTGTTAGGGGAAACATTCTGTGTCAGTGCTCCCATCCTTTGGAAGAAGTAACATCCTACATCAAACTCTGTTAACTCCCTCTTGCCCACTCAAAGGATAATATCCAAACTTCAGCCTGGCTCATGGAATCCGGATATCAGACTCTGTTCCATCCTCATTCCAACCCCATGTCTTCCCTGCCAGACCCTGACAGCGCCCTGCCCCTGCTAGCCCCTCTGTTGACTGCCTTTTCTCCCTTGCCTGGAGATCTTCTGCACAAAGCAATGTCTACCTCCCTGGGGAGCTTTCACCAACTCTCTCAGGCACCCTGGCTCCCATAGCCTCCATCATCTGACATTGGGAACCACAATGACTTATGAGCCGCTCAGGAACAAACTCTCTATCAGTTTCCTTGGTATCCCTAGCACCTGGCAGAGGAAAAGCTCAATGACTGTTTGAAGGCAATTTATTAGTTAAAGTGTGGCCAAAAGTTTAGTACAGCCTCTTTCCCACAACTTCCTACCCTGCATTCCACCAAAATACTGTATTCTGTGTCCCTCTCGATCCTTCTTTGCCGTGCTGCATCCACTGTCCTAGGAGGTGCTCTATGGCTGTTGCACCTGGGTCCCTGGCCTCTGGGTTTCAGTGAGTCCAGCCAGTGGGAGGAAATGAGAGAAAGGAGAGGAGGAGACAGGAGTCAG